TAATATCCACCAAGGTCAAGTGTTTATATCTAAGTTCAAGTATTAATATCCACCAAGGTCAAGTGTTTATATCTAAGTTCAAGTATTAATATCCACCAAGGTCAAGTGTTTATATCCAAGTTGAAGTATTAATATCCACCAAGGTAAAGTGTTTATATCCAAGTTCAAGTATTAATATCCACAAAGGTCAAGTGTTTATATCTAAGTTCAAGTATTAATATCCACCAAGGTCAAGTGTTTATATCTAAGTTCAAGTATTAATATCCACCAAGGTTAAATGTTTATATCCAAGTTCAAGTATTAATATCCACCAAGGTAAAGTGTTTATATCCAAGTTCAAGTATTAATATCCACCAAGGTTAAATGTTTATATCCAAGTTCAAGTATTAATATCCACCAAGGTAAAGTGTTTATATCCAAGTTCAAGTATTAATATCCACCAAGGTCAAGTGTTTATATCTAAGTTCAAGTATTAATATCAGCAGTGTAGTAGGTAACCATTCTTTCATTGAATTGCTATCAACATTACACGTTAGAATATCCGTATCATCTATCTGATATCATGACCCATAGCTATGACAGCTGCTTGCCCAAAGCTGTGACATTAGAATGCTTTTATAAGCAGTCTATTTCTGGATTTTTTTTAATAAGCTAAAAGCACCGGTATACGGCTTACCGACTTTTCCTTTATTGTTAAATGATGCATACTAAATTATTTTCTCGCCACTAACACACAGACGCGAGTTATTGGTACTTAGGTACGATGTGACAAGCCATGCGAGACAAGGTGATTAACTATACTTTTGGTTAATTTCAGTTGCTCGTTTCAATCTTTTGTTTGGCAGGATTACACGGGTTAGGCGTAACTTTTCGTCTGAGAAGTCCAATCTAATTAAACGGAGATATATTACCGCGTAGCTGCTCGACAAAATTTATTCATTCAAGGTCCAGCCCACCAGACAAGGTTCGGCGAACTTGCAAATCGCTTATCAGCTTCCTTTATACGTTTTAAATCGGCGAGACATTAAACACCGAGAACTCGGCGAAATCGCCACGCGTCATCGGAAAGCAGTAGCGGCTGCGAAGAACGGTACCGTCTATTATTTCTGATAGGCCTTTAGTTAGCAGACAGAGCTAATTGTGAATAAGAAAGTGTAATTATCGTTTAATGACGCCATCTTCAATTTATCATCAGTCCTGTCGAGAGGCTCGTGCTACTGAAGTCGTAAACTATGAATGATAAACTGTCAAAAACTTAAGCGATATGTATATATATTTTTTTTTCTAGTTGACTAAATCAAATAATGAGAGTCATCTGTCCGTCATGGTTTTTTCCACTAAACTATTTTAGTATTCCGTGTGGGTTTCAGTTTTGTTTCGGCGTACTCTAGCATTTAGTGGAGAAATATGTCCCATATAGTTTTAGTGGTAAATATTAATATTTTTATTCGTTTAGATCAATCACACAACGAGTGTGAAGATAAGATATAGTAAAGTGAATGGGATAGTGGTCTTGATTTTATTGTTATGAACGATTGTATTTTTGTAGCCACTGGTCTTACTTTAATTGATTAGCTAATTACTGTATATTTTTGTAGCCACTGGTCTTACTTTAATTGATTAGCTAATTATTATATTTTTGTAGCCACTGGTCTTACTTTAATTGATTAGCTAATTATTGTATTTTTGTAGCCACTGGTCTTACTTTAATTGATTAGCTAATTAAAAATACAATAATTAGCTAATCAATTAAAGTAAGACCAGTGGCTACAAAAATACAATAATTAGCTAATCAATTAAAGTAAATGCATTATTTTCACTTTCTCCATTTTTATATTTGTAAATTCAAACAACACCAACAATTTACTTCAATGTGTTTTAACCGTTGTTATTTATGGGAGTGATTGTGGTTTTGAAAGAGATGGAACTCCTTTTTTTTGTGAACCACTTTCACCAATCAGAAGACCTGGAACGCCGTTCCGGACAGTTTCGTTAACGTGTGATAGCCTGGTACTCCGTCTAGGGAGTATGTGGCATTGAAACCAGATTTAAGTCCTGGATCCTACGTTCCCTATAGACATTGCATGGGTTTGACTTGAGACACTCCTGAAAACACTTAAAATAGCGTATTTAGTCTTGTTACTTGAACTAACGCAATCTGTCACCAATATATCCACAATCATTCTTATTTCAAAACTTCACTTTACCTAATTGTTAGTTTTACGTAGTAAGTAAACATTAAACACTATTGGTGAGTGCTTTCTGAAGATTAAGATAATTGGTTCAAAATAAATAATAATTCGAACAATAGATGGCGGAGTCGTCACGTTGTTTTAGCACCAAGCTACACAATGGGCTACCTATGCTCTGTACCATTAAGAAGGCCATAGAACTTGAGGTAAATCATAGGCATTGTGTTTTTTTTTATTTAGTTCTCATCAATTATCCTTGTCAATAGATGGCGGTGTTTCTTCGGTCGTGTGGGTTAAAGACCAACGTCACTAAAAAGTCCACACACTTTTTTATTACAGCAGCGTCTTAAGATTAACCTAAAATATGTGAAGGGTGTGGATTAAAATCCGAAACAACCAAATTTCCGTTTATGTATGTAATTTTGTTTCCATTAATAAATGGTTCTCAAAGCATTTGGTTTTCTTTTTATGTTTATATATAAGTTTGTTTGATAACATAATTTTCATTTTAGTTTGCTTTTTCTATAGGTTTTGGTTTTGTTACGTTTGAAAATGAAGACGTCGTAGACAAAGTCTGTGAAATTCATTTTCACGAAATCAACAGTAAAATGGTAAGTTCCTTCCACGTCACTTCCAGTTAGACAAAGTCTTTGAAATTCATTTTCACGAAGTCAACAGTAAAAATGGTAAGTTCCTTCCACGTCACTTCCGGTTAGACAAAGTCTGTGAAATTCATTTTCACGAAATCAACAGTAAAATGGTAAGTTCCTTCCACGTCACTTCCGGTTAGACATTTCCCAACTTGTTGATATTACATTCAGATGTCGTCATAAACGTGTACAAAGAGGGCAAGCAGGGGGTCCAAGTTCCCCCCCAATAAGCTATGCACACTACCTGGGCATATGCACACATATATTTATATGATGTATATACGTGTGTTAATACGGTTTATGTGTATGTGTGTGTATACATAATAAGTTTGATTTTTGTGTGTTTTTAGCGTGCCTCCTACTCCCCAATAAAAAAAAGTGGTCAAATTAAAATTTCAATGCACTGCCCTAGATGTCGTCATCAATACTTTTAAAATAATACACCATATTAATATTAACACTTTAATAAACCAATTAGACACTTTAATAACACACCAGATGTCGTCGTCAAAATACAAAACAAAACCTCTAGTTAACAAAGATTGATAACTGAAAATCATGTTTATTTTGAATTTATGCCAGAAGTCAGAACATAATGAATTTCCAGCATCATACAAAAAGTTTAGTACGATATGTTAAAACTGCTTTGAATATGCAAATTAGCAAGTCACGATAACCACAGCCATGATAAAGTCGTTGCGTTTCGTAGGTAGAACGATACCACTGGAAATTGATCGCTTTTGGGAAGGGTATTTAACAGCCCTTTCTTATGGAAAATATTCATATACTCAAATCATAAATATCCTTTGTACTTAATGGCATTGAAAAACAAAGGAATATGGATCAACCTGGGGTACTAGGATCATCAAGAGAGAGATCTGAAATAAGTCGCAGCCCAGCCTGGGTAAGCAAAGTGCGGGGTTTTGTAACAAATTAGAATCCACGAACAAAAGGTAAAGTTCCAAAAGTTGTCCACGTGACCTAGGCAACAATAAGCAACACAATCAAAAGGATTTCTGCCTGGAAAACGACATAAGTCAAGTCTACATAAGTTACTTCCACGACATATCTGTTCAACCATCGCATACCTCAAGCAGCTGGAAAAGGAAATGCTATTCAATACGAAGAGCTATTGGTCAAGTCAACAAACGCTCAGCATATAGATTTCTATACAGTCGGAATGTAGGATTGGTCGTTGGGAAATTGTTAGGTTTGTTAGAGCCAGGATTCTTTACATTAGGTGTCTGTGACTTGTATTGACAAACATTCGCTACATTACTGGTTATCACAGTTGTATCCAGAGCTATAAATAATTGTCTCTTTTTTTTGTCAAAGTCAACACAGACAGGTTCAATTACTTTAGAACACCCTTTGACAAGATAAATTATTCCCCTCTATCTCTGTTATTACAATACAAGCTGTGAAACTCATTTTAGAAATCTCCCATTATGCTTAAACCCAAACGCAGTCTAACTTCACTTTGTTTTATTACTTTTAGTTTCCCTAACTTACTTACTTGTGTTAACTTGGTCGCCTATATATATATTGCCCGACTGAGGCCTAGAACTTTCTACAAAATATGAAACATTATGTGACGTCAATTCACAACAACTGAATTACACAACAATCTATCTCTAATAAGGTTTATTACAAATATTTTAAGTGATTTGTTTTCAATGACCTGGCGTGGCTTAGAGATTGGTGTGTCGGGCTGCGAATTGGAGGATCCGGGGCTCAACCCGCGATATATTGGTGAACACGATCTAAGTTTGGATTGTGAGAGTGTTATAACAGTAACAGTTAATTCCTCTATTCAGTTAAGAGTAGCCGAAGACCAGCGGTTCCAGATGACGGCTGTGTCTGAAACTTAGCCCCCCCCCCCCCACGGCTCAGCGGTAAGCTTGCAGGCTTATAATACTAAAAATCGGAGTTCGATCTCCCTGCGGTTGGCACAACGCAGATAGCCCAATGTGTAGCTTTCGGCTTAACAACAAAAATTAACCTTAAGGGTCTCTCACCTGTCCGTGTAGTTTATGGCACCATTCAGATTGAAGATACCAATACGATATTTCACCCCATACTTTATACACCAACTAATCTTCCACAGATTCGTTTGACTATCTAAGTTAATCTCCAAATGTCGTAGTTAAAACTCCTAAATGATAAAAAAAATCAAATGTTTAGTAGTCGCAATATAACAGTTTAACTTGAAAGGTTGGGAAATTTTATCCCACACAACGTTTATTTTGTACTATCATAGCTCAGATATTAAAACAAAAAATACACGTCACATTTTTAATGTATGTTACAGTCACCAAAGACGAATATCATCAGAAGAAAACTAGGTTTAATTTAGTTCTGAAACTTGCAGGCCTCGGTTTAGGTGGGGATTTAATAGATGTACAGATCTACCCTGAGATGGAAAACACAGAAACAGTCGTCAGAATCCTTACCGAAACCCAAGATAATGACAGAAAATTTAAAACATATTT